AACAAATTTGAATCTACATTATGTAATGAAGATTTCACATAAGTTTCAACTTTTCTGGCCCAATGGTTCTTGAGAAGAAGATTTTTAAAAGATGACACCAAATTTTCACCAATTCTTAATTATCTCCCCTTGGAAGAGGTGTGGCCCTTCATTTGATCAAACTTAAACTCCCTTCACCCAAGCATGCTTTGTGGCAAGTTTGGTTGAAATTGGCCCAGTGGTTCTGGAGAAGAAGTCGAAAATGTGAAAAGTTTACAGACGGACAGACAGACAGACAGACTACGGACAAAATGTAATCAGAAAAGCTCACTTGAGCTTTCAGCTCAGGTGAGCTAAAAAAGAATTAAAGCGTACTCACATCTTATGTAAATATAAGAGAACACACTGGAAATTCTATTGCAGTTTTACATTTAGAAATATCAAGGGCCGCCAATTATTTATTTTACGAAACCATAACAACAGCATAACGCAGGGGTAATAAGGAAGCATACAAAATATTCTACCTTGACTTAATCAGTGCTACATTATGACGTCATAGTAGGCGAGATGACGTCAATATTAGAATACAAGTTTTCGTAATATTCGTATCTAGAGATGTAATTTAACTCTAGAAAATGAATAGAAACGTGTAAACATTAACAGAAGTAAAATGATTTTATTTTGTTATGCTGTATCTGTCATTTTGATTAAAATCTACCACCGATGACGTCATATGTGTACTTCAAGTAACCTGGGAATTGATCATGTCGTGTAAAGAGAATTTGGCTAAGACGGCATGTACAAAGATACGTAAAATGGAGTTTAAAAGCAAATATCCTGAATATTTTGTGAAATTCATATGGAGTTCAGTTACTGAAACAGGTATGCTAATTTATTTTCATCGATTGTATTCTCTTCGAAGACAGTCAGCTATATACGTATCCCGGTCGGCCTTTCCTCTGTCATTTGTGACAAAAATAATGCAGCAGAACAACAATAAGCTGTATATTTCAAAACATAAGATTTGTACAGATGGAAAGTTTGCCTCCTAAAATACTTGGAAAGTGCTGCTAGAATCCCGAGTTAAGCATGGTTTTACGAAAAATCTCGGTTTATATGTATAAAATTCAAAACATCGGGTAAGGTTTCGTGCAAATGTGAGGAATTATTATTTTACTGACGGGACAGTGGGATTCTAGCAGCACTTTTTAGGCAAAATAGATGTTTTCCAACTATATTATTTACTCAAAGAAATTATTACACTTCGGGGTATTGTTGTTCTGTTAGCTTTTTTACTAAGGAAAATTTCGCTATTAATAGAAGTCACGTGATGCCGTGGTGGTGGTGCACGTCTTTGTGTTAGACACTCTTTTATCTTTATGCAATAGATAATAATAGTTTACATTTATCAGCGGTTTTGGTAAATTATCAAACTTAATTTTCTTTAAAAAGTCTAAATTTCCAGAGAATTGACTTATATGCTTCCTTAACATACCCGCGAATAAATTTCTACAAAATTTTCATTGCATATGTATTTCATGTTGCTAAGAGGATTTACTTATACTTAAAGACTTAATAATATATTTTGATCTGTCTTCATATGTCACAGGAACTATGAAGTTCCCTTTCTAAGGAAGAAATTCTTCAAAATCATATGTCAGTTTTGAATATTTTTAATATTCCAAACAACCAAAATGAATTCGAATTACCATACTTATATTGGATTCCGAAACTTCATAAAAATCCTTACAAACAAAGATACATAGCGGGTTCCAGTAAATGTTCAACCAAGCCTCTATCTTTACTCCTCACTAAGATATTAACAGTGGTGAAGGAGAAACTTCAAGAGTACTGTGCAACAATATATTCGAGAAGTGGTGTAAATCAGATGTGGATACTTAAAAATTCCAAGGAACTTTTGGAAAATTTGAAATCACAAGATTTTACCAAAATCAACAGCTTAAAAACTTACGACTTTTCAACTTTATACACAACCATTCCCCACGATAAATTAAAGTCCAGGCTTTTTGATATCATTGACAGCTGCTTTTTCAATAAAAATGGAACTCGTAAATATACTTACCTTGTCATTGGTCATTTGCAAAATTATTTTGTTAAAAAACATTCTGATTGTACACACAAGTACTCTGAAGTTGACATTAAAAAGATGCTTGAGTTTCTGATTGACAATATCTATGTGGTTTTTGGAGACCAGGTCTTCCAACAATCTATTGGAATTTCTATGGGTACCAATTGTGCCCCGTTATTAGCAGACCTTTTTTTGTATTCATATGAAGCACAATTTGTCCAAAATCTTGTACGTGAAAAGAAGAAAACACTTGCTGTGGCGTTCAACTCTACATTTAGATATATCGACGACGTATTGTCAATTAACAATGACTATTTTCATTCTTATGTCGATACGATATATCCTGGTGAACTTGAGATAAAAGATACCACAGAGTCTGACACATCTGTTTCATATTTGGATATTTTACTTGAAAAAGACGTTAATGGTAATCTAACAACCAAGCTTTATGATAAACGTGATGACTTTAACTTTTCAATCGTCAACTTCCCTTACTTATGCAGCAATATACCTTCATCACCTGCATACGGGGTATATCTCTCTCAGTTGATTCGATACGCAAGAGCATGCTCTACGTATGTACAATTTCTAAAACGAGGTAAATTATTGACAAATAAGTTGATGAAACAAGAATATCAGCTGTCTCGTTTAAAGTCATCATTTCGTAAGTTCTATGGTCGATACAATGATTTTGTCAGCAAATACAATTTATCATTGAGTCAAATGCTGACTGACGTTTTTCATACTAATTGTTAGGCCATTATTTACACTCTGAATTGTCGACGGATTTTTCCCTTATTTCCCGATCATGACAAGGAGCACACGGCGGGTGTGACCGGTTGGCAGGAGATGCTCACTCCTCCATGGCACCTGATCCCACCTCTGATGTTTGGAGGTCCGTGTTTGCTCTGCTCCTATTTTGTATTGTATAATGGACGTTTGAGCTTGAATACTGTTCGTTATCTCCATACATTTCATCTTCCCTCCAGAATTTAAGCATAAAGAATTTTTGAAGGCAGTAACATATTAGATTTCGTCTGGCCTCATCCTATCTCTTGCATTGTGTGGATTTAGATACTCAGATTTCAGAACAGTAGTTGTAAAATCGTCTCTCTTAGGTCTCCTTTTTTCTAAAACCTTAGGCAGATTTTTAAACTAAATCAGTCGCGTCTCTATCTGATTTCACTCCGATCTTGTACTAATAAATACAATATTAGGCTTCAAGTAATTCTTTAGCCTTTGGAATTTGAATATCCAGACTCTTGAATATGTTTTACCCTGAGAAGGAACAAGAAATTTAAAAAGAAGTAGCATACAGGCAATGAACTAGTGGAAACAGCAGCCCTCAGCTCACCTGAGCTTAACTCTCAAATGAGCTTTTCTGGAAGAGTGTCCTGTATCTGTTTGTGTCTCTTAACTTTTCAAATCTTCTCCAGAACCATCTGGCCAATTTCACCATATTTGCAACAAAGCATCCTTTGTTTAAAGGATTTATATTTGTGCCAATGAAGAGTCATTCCGTCTTTCCAGGGAGTTATTCAGAAATAGGTGTTATTGATGGAATCATTTACAAAATTTATGTGAATGCCTCCTTATTTCAAATTTGTACAAATCAAGGCCCTAGGGTTTAGGGTGGGGCAAAATAGGAATGAAGTTTTATTTGGGAACATCTATAAAACATTTTTAAAAATCTTCTACCCAAGAATTCAAGGCCACAATTAGTCGAACTGATATGCAAGCATTCTCAGGTTGTGCATATTCAAGTAAATTAAAACTATTCCCACCGGAGATGGGATTGATTTACAAAAGAGGATCAAAGTTTTACACGGAAGTACTGCATGTTGGAAAAAAAAGGTTTTTTAAAAAAGCAGGATCATATTATAAATCATATTATTATGCAAGCATCCCAAGAAAGTGCAGATTCAAATATTTAAACAATAACCTCAGGGTTAAGAGGGGGCAAAAGGGGGATCAAATATTTCTATTGAAAAATATATAGTAGAAGTGTTTGAAATATAACAAGATTGTCTTCTTTCCCACTGTTATGCAATAATTACATATAATGCAATTATCTCTTTAAAGTACACATTTGTTCATCAGGACCCCTTGGACTAAATTGGACATAAAATAGATATTTAGAATTTTACATGGGAATATATGAGTTTTTTTTTAAAAATTAAAGTGTGACACCAAATCATATTGATATACAGACAATCTTAAGTTGTGTGTACAATTTTATGTAGACTGGGATGAGGGCTAGATTTGGAAATCAACTGTTACATAATGCATGTATATAGATATCTTTAAAAGAAATCTCCAGAAAGCATAGTAAAGTTAGTCAGATTGATTCTCAGAATCCCCATGTGTGCATTCATGTTTGGTTAAGTAAGGCCACTTGGGCGAGGGTGGGACAACAATTTGACGTCAACATTTTTTATGGGAATATAAGGGTGACCAAGAGGAGCATGTGGCCCTTAGCCTCTTGTTTTTTTATCTATGACAATGTTGTCAAAAGAGTATTTTTGAAAAAAAAATACTATTTTCATTAATTCTAAAGATTATAAATTAAGCTTTTAAAAAATTTGCTTGCTATCATCAACTCTCCTCTCCCCCCCCAAATAAAATAAAATAAAAACACCAAAAAACCCCCTTTTTTCGCCCACAGAGCAAAACAAGGAAGCCAAAATGATTCTCAGCGCACGAAAACTTTGTTGGTAGGGGCATAATATTGTATTGCAACACCTTTAAACAATGTTACTTAGTGAATAAATTAAAATTTCTTACTATTACTTTTAGTCAGCAAAGATTTCTAAAAATAATGCCATTTAGCCTTGAACTTTTATTAGTGTATCACAATTTGATTTTACAGGAAAATATTACTATTAAAAAACTTCTCACAAGGTGAACACTACATAAAGGATTTCTGACAGAAATGAATGCAACCAATATAACAATACCAGGACAGACCAGATTTCCATTACCACTCTCTATCACACTATGTGCCCTGGGGACAATAGTCACCTTTGAGAACTCTGTGATTGTAGCTGCATCAATAAGGAGCCCCAGACTGAGACAGAATATCCACCACAACCTCGTGTTGGCGTTGTCTGTTGGTGATCTTCTGCTGGGGGTGAGTGCTGTTTCTACAGGTGCTCGTCTTGCTCTACCATGGTTGTCGGGGATCCTACCACTCTGCATCGTTAATGTTTTTCTACAAGTTACAGGAATAGCTATGTCCCATTTCCAAACATTTTATATAAGCTTTAATCGCTTCTTAGTGATTACAGAAAATCGCCTGAACATGGTCTTGTTTAATGGTCATCGAAAGTATATACTGTATGCAGTTAGCTGGACGGGGGTGATGACGTTTATTGGATCCATTATGGCACCAGTAAAGCTAGCAAACAGGAAAGTGTGCAATGTGAAGATAGTCTACGGTAACAACTATAATTTATTTAGGCCAATTTTTCTCTCTTTCAATGCTCTTTTGTTGGGCCTCATCATCGTGTTCTACATATTGACATTACTTGGGGTACGTCGTCGATACAGGAAGACAGCTCCAACCATTCCTACTGAAAGCACTTCACAAGATCGCTCTGTGTCTGTAGTGGTAAATCAAAGAGACAAAATGGAAAAATTGAGGACCAAGAGATTTGTACACTCCATGAAACTTGTCAGCATCATTTTAGGTGCCTTAATGATCTTTTCAGGTCCTATAGTGTTCGTCAACTTGTCCAGAGAACGGCCACACACCATTATAATCAGCACACTGTGTGCTACTACCTTCAATTCCTTAATCAACCCAATCATTTACAGCTGGCAGATTTCAGAACTGAGACAGGAAATTCGAAAGATGTTCCGGTTAGCTTAATTTAAAAGTAAAAAACTGATTTTCTATACATGTACTTTAAAAACACATTAAAATATTGCCTCTCTCTGTCCCACTAAGTGTCCATTATGGAACGCTAAATTAATATATATTCAAATATTTGAACCTATCTTCAATGAATTGTACCTATCTTCAAATCAATTGTACCTATCTCCAAATGAATTAAAGATAGGTTTAATTCAATTATACCTATCTTCAATTGATTTGAAGATAGGTACAAATGATTTGAAGATAGGGAAAGGTACAATTGATTTGAAGATAGGTACAAATGCCATGAATTAAAGATAGGTATATTGATTGATTTAAAGATAGGTGCAATTGAATTGAAGATATCTTTGATTACAAAGATACTGACAATAACAATTACTCACAATAAAAATGCACTGTGCGGTTCCATCCATTGTTCAAAACGCTGTCAGAAGAACTTTCATTATTTTCAATAACACAAAACGAATTGAACCTAGGTATAATTGAATTGTACCTATCTCCAAATCCTTTCTGGATATGTTTCAATTGTACCTATCTTCAAATCAATTGTACCTATCTTTAAATGAATTGAAGATAGGTATAATTCAATTGAACCTATCTTTAATTTAATTGAAGATAGGTGTAATTCCATTAAAGATAGGTGTAATTTATTTGAACCTAGGTTTAATTATTTAGAGATAGGTATAATTATTTACACCTATCTTTAATTCATTTAGACCTATCTTTATTTCAATTGTACCTATCTTCAATTCATTTGGAGATAGGTTCAATTATTTGAAGATACGTACAATTATTTGAAGATAGGTTCAAATATTTGAATATGTTAATTTGGCGTTCCATAGTCCTTTGACAATGGTTACCTTTGAGAACTCTATGATTATAGCTTAATCTTATAAATATGGGTTAAATGTTCAAATTTATGAACCTAAACTGAGCTAATGCTTTTTTTCGCCACATCATCTCGAAGCAAGATTTATTGGTGAGATCTTTCCTTCAGATTATAGAATATCAAACGACAACTTCTGAAACGTAGATGCTAGAGAGCATTTTAATTTCTCAGGTTAATTTTGAGGAGCTATTTTTGATTTTTCACACTTATCTATAGATCAGTTAAAGTACACTGTAGAGAAAAGTGCTCACCTGAAGTTCAATTTGCTTACTTTATACCTAATTTTGAATAGACAGGCGCTCTATATCCGCGTCTATGTAGCATCTGTGTTGTAGTGTTGGCTATCAAAATGATGTACCCTCAGTATCCAGATGAACATCTCTTCAATACATGTGTTTCCTTGTCTCATGGAATTTTTTCAATTTGTTTTAAATACAGGATTTTTTTTTGCCAGAAGGTCTTGCAGGCAAATAGTCAAATACAAATAGAGATGAGAAAAATTGTTTGTTTGTTTAAAATTTTTAACCATTGGTTACCATTGAAGAACAGAGTCTTTCTTTACAATTCTTCTTATGAAGATTTGTGAAATTATACTAGGTAGTTTTATTAATATGTTTTATTTAATCATGTTTATTCTCTTCCATGAGTTACTTTAAATCATTTATTTTCGTGGAGTCCGTCCGCATGGCGCAGTGGTTAGAGCGATCTCTCTATAGTGGCGAAGTAAGGAGCTGATCTTTACGTCGCGGGTTCGAATCCACTGCTGGACGTGGAGACTGGTCCTTCGGATGAGAACGTATAAACTGCGTGTCACAGTAGGTGTTCGCACGAAAATGATCCCTCTCTGCACAATGGACCTAAGTGCCGAGTATAGGTATAAATTTGCAGCCCTCCACCGGCAAGTGGCGACGTCTCCATATGAGTTAAAAATTTTCGAAGGGACGTTAAACAACAAACAAACATTTCACGAAACAACGAAAATTAAACTCCCAGAAAAATTATATTTCACAGTAAACTTTTTGGTGAAAAAATGTACAATTTTAAGTGGTCAGTTTTATCTATACAAAATCTCTTAGTATGTACGGTCTGTGAATTATGGTATGGATTCGCTCAACAGTACATGCATATTTAAGTATTGCTGCGAATCAAGATGATGGAGCAAAGAAATGTGTATTGTATAATGTAATTGTAGTATTAAGCTTGAATCATGCTTCTGTAAATAAAGCAGTTTACTCATTTAATAATGATTAGAATTATTATGTAAAGACTGCACTTGCGCATATATGTAATTATACTGATTCAAATTGATATGAATATGAATGTAGATATTCCAGAATTGAGTTTTTATCTATTAATCAGTGTTACTTTATATTATATTATGTTTCAGACCTTTTGAAACCTTACTTGTTGTACTGTAATGAAAAATCTAATGCTTTGTTTCTTGAAATTGAAACGTTATCTCACTCTCTCTTTTTTCATCTACTGAAGGTGTACCTTTTTTGAATGCATTCAAAATTTAACACAAATGCAAATTTAGGGTTATGAACATGGTCTACTATTTTTTGGTAAAATCTTGATTTAACGCTATCAGTTTTTCTTTATATATAATTCGGATTTCAAAATCATATTATGGTAGTAGTAATAAGGGTGCTAAAATATGCATGAATCCCAATAAAATGAGTAGTGTTAAAAATCTTTTGACATATATCGGTATTTGATCGAAATCGTGTTTTTTCCCGCTATACGTTTTTTTATTTCTTTTTCCTTCTGTTTTCAAGATGTATTATCTAACTAAATCCAATATTCTCATTACTGTGATTTTTCCATTATGAGCAATTTCCCACATTTTTTTCTTTTCATTTCTTGTCAGATGTTATTTAATATTGAAATACTAAGCTCCTTTCTTGAAGTGCTGTGAAGGAGAAACTTTAAACCTACTGTAGTACAACCTATTCAAGATGTGGAGTAAATTAAATGTTTTCTCAAAACTCATTTTTTTTTTGAAATTTAGAAAAATTGGTCAATAACATCAAAACCTAGTCTTTTTCAACGCTTTATACAGCCATTCCTCAATTCCATATTATTGTGAAGCATTATCAATTTTAAAAAAATCGGCATGAGAAAAAATCTTGCTGTGCTCTCAAATCGACATTTAGATATATGGACGACGTTTTATCAATTAACAGTATCATTTTCATTCATTTGATTCAATATAAAAAGACAACACAGAATCTGACATATCTGTTTTGTATGTGATGTTTGATGTTTTACTGACTAGAGATGTTAATGGACAACCAACAACTAAACTATGCAACGAACAGAATGACCAGCTTTGCTATGGTTAACTTCCCCTCTTTATATAACAATATTCCAATATCACCTGCATATGGTGTTTATTTCCCTTAACTGATTGGGTTCGTAAGAGCATGCTCTGAGTACGATCAATTTTTAAATTTGATGGCATGTTTCCTACCAATTGTTAGATCTTCGGTTTTATACTAAGTAGAATACGTGTTACTCCGTTTATCTAGTCAGTGCAAAGGGTTCACGGGGGTGTGATCGGTCAACAGGGGACGTTTACTTCTTCTAGGTATCTGAACCTAGCTCTGGTTTTTCCAGGGGTCCGTATTTTTACCCTATTTACGATTCCCATTGTTTACAGATCACAGTTCGTTATCTTTACCTTTTTCATTATTAGCATAAATCTACAAGCCCAATACACAAGGTTCTGAAATGTTTAATGATACTACTTCTTCTAACATCAGTCCCAATACATGTATAAGGAATCCGATATGCAATACCCATTAAGACAGGATCCTTACAATGACTGCGCTTAGAATGACGATTTCCTACAAGCTTGTAGCACTGCATGGAATATCGTAATAGTGCATAAATTTATCACAGGGAAAACAATTTTTCAATTTGGAATATTCCAAAGGTACTTATTTCATTTTTAAATAATCCTTATGGTATACCTCACCTTCTTCCTTGTTTTAATAGAGATCTAAATACCTGTACGAAATCTAAAGCATCTCTGAGTTCAGAACTGCCTCTGTGATATAAGAATTAAAAACTTTCTCTACACAAGTCTACTGGAAAACAACTTCCTGTCCACAAGTCTACTGGAGAACAACTTCCTATACACAAGTCTATTGGGAACAACTCCCTGTAAACAAGTCTACTGAGAACGACTTCCTGTACACTAGTCTACTGGAACACCTTCCTGTACACAAGTCTCATGGGGGAACAACTTCCTGTACACAAGTCTACTGGAGAACAACTTCCTATACACAAGTCTATTGGGAACAACTCCCTGTACACAAGTCTACTGAGAACGACTTCCTGTACACTAGTCTACTGGGAACACCTTCCTGTACACAAGTCTCATGGGGGAACAACTTCCTGTACACAAGTCTACTGGGGGAACAACTTCCTGTACATAAGTCTACTGGAGAACAACTTGCTATACACAAGTCTCATTATGAACAACTACATGTACACAACTCTCATGGGGAAACAACTTCCTATAAACTGTCTACTGGAGAAGAACTTGCTATACATAAGTCTACTGGGGAACAACTTCATGTACACAAGTCTCATGGGGAATCAACTTCACGTACACAACTTTCATGGGGAATCAACTTCCTGTAAACTGTCTACTGGAAAACAACTCGCTATACACAAGTCTACTGGTAAACAACTTGATGTACACAAGTCTTATGGGGAAACAACTGCCTGTAAACTGTCTACTGGAGAACAACTTACTATACACAAGTTTACTGGGGAACAACTTCATGTACACAAGTCTCATGGGGAAACAACTTTCTGTAAACTGTCTACTGGGGAACAACTTACTATACAATGCCTACTGGGACACAGCTTCCTGTACACTGTCCACTGGGGAACAACTTCCTGTACACGAGTGAGCTGGAGAACTACCTGTGTTCATGTCTACTGGGGAATAACTTGTTAAATTCTGGTTAAACATTGGCTTCTATGACTAGACGTACCAGATAGCTTTAAGTTTGAATACAAAATAAAAGGGTTTAAGTAAAGAAATAGTTTTCAAAAAACGTATTACGTCATGCAAAATGTTTCTGCTCTGAATAAAATTATGATAAGCAGTCACACGGTAAATGTCACATCCCTGTCTCTAACATTTTAGAAGATACAGTGTAACAGAGCGGCAACATAATAAGATGGTTTTCAGCTGTTTACGAAGATTCTGCAAAACAATATAAACCATAGTAAACATATAGGATATTACACACATGACAGCAGAATCTGGTACCATCATAGAATATAAAGGTTATAAGATATTGAATATTGACACAGGTCGCAGAGTTCTCTCTCTTGATTCATAATATGCAAAATGCAAATATTTCTCTTTGTATTCACATTCTTACCGTGAATAATAAATACATATAATTATTGCAACAAACCAAGCTATGGGAATGAGTCCATCTCCAATGAATTAATTTATTCCAGCTTTGACCAACTATTTAAAAAAATCAGTAACATTTTCATATGCCTCTTCCATTCAAAACTTAGAAACTAGAAAGTACAACTATAAAACAAGGTTGTCAAAAGTCAACTTGATGTCAATGGTCTAATATAACTCAAAAATACAACTTAACACAAAGATGCTCCTCTACACACTCTGGACAAGGACGTTAAAAGTTTTGACGGAAAAATATTGGCCAATGGCTGTTTTTTTAGTTATATTTATTTATTTAAGGTTAAAAGTTAAGTTATATTTTTAGAACTCTAGAGATTTTTATTTTATTGTATTGACATTATTATTGGACACAAATTCTGACAACTTATATTTACTGGTATCTCTTAAATATAAGAAAATGAAATGCAAAATAGTTCAGAGATATGTGAATTTCACAAGAAATACAAGTTATAAAAGTGGAATTCCATTAAATAAAACTGCTACTTAAAATCTACAGATTTCGCCAATAAATTTGTGAACAGCAGCAAAAATAGTGTAATTAGTCTGCATCTCACCATACTAACGGATTTAACGTCAACAGTGAACAATTCATCTAGCATATTGATAAACAGGTGCGTGTTAAAAAGATTATTTCTAGCATTATAATATTTTCTACAAGCATTAAAAAATGGGTTGGGGAATTTCTGACTTCTGTAATGAGGTTTTTTACGAAATGCACTGAGGGAGATGACTTCTCTCGTTTCTATCTATAATAAGTTTCATTGTATCTGGTATGAAAGTTCTTTTAAATAAATCAAATCTGCAGGTATCTTGGAGCAACGAATTGTTCTATAATAAGACATTGTATTTTGATATGTTCTCACGCTTGTTTGGGACAAAATCACTCAGATACGCAACCATTGTGAACATCTTGTCATTTTTGCGACATACATGTAGCTCCTATTTTTTAAAGTTTCCTAACCAGTTTCATATATAGGATGTAAATAATGTTTCAATATATAATATATGCACGAGTTTAGACTGTCTCATTGGTGCTACATGTAATTCTATTATGACGTCAAAATTTCAAACTTACTTGTTTTAGATAGAAAATGAAGCATTGAAGAATTCAATTTCATATCATGTGAAAAGAAAGCCCCGATACCTATGTTAAATTTCATATTATTTTAAAGAAGTCAAGAACATATTTCGTTTTCTGAGATAATTTAGGTGTTAGATCCACCTTTGACATGGAACTGTGTCTGATATTACACTGAAAACTGAAAAAATACATTGAAAACCTGACAAACTTGGAGACTGTTGTGTATTCTGTCAGTCAGTCGTATTTATAAAGAATAGGCTATATCAAGAACCCTCTCTACACTGCACACTAAAGAGTTCTGATTCTGTGGTATTTTTCTGCAGTTAGCAGAGCTGGTTAGAGTTATCTGCCCTTAGATCTTAATTCAAATAAATTGAAATCTTCATTGTATTAATAAATTTGTGATCGATTTAAGCATTCTAAACATTTTAAAAAGGCAAGATAAATTAATTGAACAAGGATATCAACAGTCTCGATTGCAGTCATCATTTCGGAAGTTTTATGGTCGATGGTCCTTGTCAGCAAATTCAACCTATCATCAAGTCAAATGCTGACTTGAGTTTTTCATACTAATTGTTAAGCCATTATTTACACACTGTATTGTCGATGGATATTTCCGTTTTTCCCCATTATGGCAAGGTGCACAAGGCAGGTATGACCGGTCGGCAGGGGATACTCACTTCTCCATGGCAAATGATCCAACCTCTGATATTTTTGGAGGTCCGTGTTTGCTCTGCTCCCGATTTGTATTGTTTAAAGGGACTTTGAGCTTGAATACTGTTTGTTATCTCCATATTACACTTTATTTGTAGGTATTTTCTCCACTGAGGTAAACAACAGTGATTTCTGTTCATTTATAATTTCTTGTCTTTAAACATTATTCCTGGGGGTAAATGCCACGTACCATATATTGAAAATTCAACAGATAAGCTCAATATTTATATATCTATGCAGTATGATTTTCTCAGTGTCCAAAAACATTTTTGCATTGGTATATAGAGGGTCCTTAAGGTATATCAGTCGTCAGCGTTTAGGAAAAGTTCATTCAGAACCTATAACTTCAAAACTATTTATTACAATTCAATTTCTATAACATATTTGAATTAAACAATGTAACTCATACAACATTCAATTTTAAAAAACTGCTCACAAAATCATAAAGAAACAAGATTTATGGGGGACTTGTGGTGAAGGGATATTTAGAAAAAAATTCTTCAAATACACACATTTATTAAATTTATTAACTTGAAACTTTAGCCCTACATATTTTTACTGAGAGAATTTTTTCCGTTTTTTATATGATAGGAATATTATATTTTTTCTGCAATAGCTTCAACGTTAATTCCCATACTAACAAACAAAGAAGACTTTTTATTGTTAATATTTAATCATCTAAAGTAGAATTAAGTAGGTTAAATATTGTGTTATTGAAATGCACGTCATTGTACGTTCATTGATGGAAGAGCCATATAGTTCAAGAAATCTTTGCTGGTGGTATGCTTAGTGGCGTTTACTGACTGATTAACGACAATGGTTTTCTAAAGAAATAAAGGAGATAAATATGATAAAATTTACACTGTTTTTTGCCTGAAAATCGCATATTTTGACCAGTATCTCAAAACTCACATCACTGGTCGCACCTTTTTAAACTACACGATTCCTCCAACCGATCAGCACTAAAGTCATAAAAATATTTTGTTGACTATTTAAATTTTAATAAACCCCCCCCCCCCCCAAATGACACTTTTATAGTGTAAAAAGGTCATACAATAACTGTAATAATGTTCAATGATATATGTTATTCAAACTAATTTACGTAAAATAAAGATTATTTTTATTTACCATGATTACATCAGTGCTTATCTAAAATATGCTTCTAAAAAATCCTTGATATAACTATATAATATCACAGGTGACATACGTTAAAAAAATGCACCAAACAGGTACAGGTTGGACCAGATCAAATCAAACAAAACATGATAACTTTTTTTAACCTTAAAATTAAACATCCGTTAGATAATTCAATAACAATTGTTTAGGTTTGTGAGCAGCCTATCGGTCTCTTATATGGCAAAAAATGACGCTGTTTTTGATTATCTGCCCTTTGTTAATTAAATTCTCTAAAAATAGATCCAAATCCATACAGTGAAGAAGGCCTACGTGTTATGAAAACAAACACTAACAATTAAAAAAAAGGATTTATGAAACCATGAATCACTGAATTAGACATTATAACTGGTAAGTGTAAACTTAAGAATAATGAGCGAGGGATGAAAATCTTCGTTAGGTTGTAAAACTCTACTTTCATTTTAACAGAGGTCCTCGTTAACTGGCACTTAACAGTTATACATTGAATATGAAGAAATTGCAAGCACACTTTTATTTCAAAGAATTTACTTTGTATTAATATAAAAAAAACATGTACATTGACTGATAGAGTCCATAACATATAACACGAATCGATTTTTAGTTATTAAGGTAAAACCGTGTAATAAATACATAAACATGATGCATATTTTCAGAACAAGTGAAAAATAGCCTCCATATAGGCCTAATAAAAATTTAAAAAAATGTCTGGTAGACTTTGATTGATAAGACAATGAACCTTAAATTCGAAAGTCTATATAATTTGCCGCATTATAAAATAAATCACATACGTGGTGTTTTATTAGGCTTACGTAAAATAGTGTAAAGAAAAACATTTTTAAAGGATGACAAACAAGTTGAAGTAAACAAGAAACTTGCGAACATAGCAATGTTCCGCTCATTACATTACGCGTCATGTTTACCGAATAAAATTAATGTACACCGACTATTTGGATTTCTAACATTATCCAGCTTCAGAAATTAATTGAATGTTTTTCAACATGCATTGAACTATATTGATTATTGGATCAATAGGTTCATGCTTTGTAGCACTTGGTTGCATACTATATCCACCCCCCCCCACCCCCATAAACTAAATACTAAATATACTAAACTATAGGTTAGTGAACAGTGCTATAATAAAGTACAGTTTACTATAGTGTACTATGGCAAATCAAAAGTTCATAATTATTTTGGACAAAGAGAAAGTTAGTTAAAGTTCAGTGGCATTCACTGTAGTAAATCATATCTTTTTCTGTATAGTAAATCAAACTATAAATATTATTATTCTGTTAAATCAAAGTATTAAAGACACGAATGTTCCATAGTATAGACAGGGAAAGGCTCGTATGATTTTCATGTAAGGTCCTTTTCTCCTCCTTCTCATGGGAAGAATTCCCAGGATATTTTTCGTTGAAGTTCATGCAAACCACTTTTCTCTGTGTATAATAAACGTGTAAAAGTAAAAATGAGAGAATTCTTTATTTATTCAAAGGTAAACTTCAGTTGGTATGAAAATCAAATATAAGTAAAATTTGTCATGTTTTCTTTTCATCGGAAATCTGTTGTTACGTCCAAACATTCTAGGTTTTGTGTGAATGTGCTACCATCATGGACAGAGCCAAGAGATTCCTTGAAAGAAAAGGCTACAGTGTGACCACACATCCCAAAGACGAAAATTCATTTTATTACAGTCTTCATTTAATACTTAATGCAGGAAAAGGGACACCTTCTGGTAAAACCGCAAAACAAATGCGAGATGAGCTATTCAAATTTGAAGTAGATAATGCCTTGTATTTCCACCTATTCCATCCACAGTGTGTCTGCTGTGATGGAACAAAGCACCCAAAAGATTGCTTAACTGGTGATCTGGAAAGGGTGAAAACAGAGAAGAAATATGCCTCTTCCCGAGAAATTTATGCTGGAGCAGAATTACTACAGAAGAACATATGTCTTATTCGTTACAATAGATCTTGCAGTGAAGACATGCTCGGATTTCAGGGGTACATTTTTGCTCCTAGTATCAGACAGTGTCTTGATTCAGAGCCAGTATATATTCTGATGATTGAAAACCAAGACAGATCGGTAGAATTCGGCAATCTTGATTTAAAAGATAACAATAAAGATCTGGAGTCTTGTCCCTGGGATCTGGTGAATGAAGAGCATAAAAATTGTTTTGGCTTACGATTCAGAAATAGTTTTTGTTTGCTCTTTGATGAAAGTGTTAGATATGGAATAAAAGATGACGTCAAAGATTTGTATCGTCGATTGAGTTTGGAATTCTATGGCAACGAAGATTACCATGAACGCATACTGAATATCATTTGTAACTTTGAATTAGAAGAGGACAATCTGGATTTATTTTGCAAGTATGTAGACGATGCCGTCAATGAAGAAACGAGCGTTGCCGAAAAGGAGAGACTTTTGAAGTCCCAGACAGAGAAAGCAAAAAATCGACAGAAACCCCCCGGTGATGGAGAACTTTATGCAATATCGTCAGTTTTCAACGTCGACATTGTTGTTGATAAAATGTGCAGAGGTGACTGGGAAACCTATATGTCAGTCGCATGTACATATGCCTGCTGTTTTAAATCACCAATCCTTCTGCGCCTGCAGACGAGTCATGGAGAATACATGCCGTATGTTACAGCGCCAGGAGAATGCTCTTGTCGCCAGAAAAAGCCAGAAATACAAGGTCACATTGGAAAAATCAAAGATGATATCCACAATGCAGTGTGTAAGTATTTTTATGCTCTTCCTGTAGAAATCTGAAAAAAAATTAAGGTTCATTTTCAACAAGTTACCCACTGGCAACAAATTACAACAATTAGTGACATTGTATATGTGTGAGTTTTATCTGCAAAATCACTTAGCCGATTTCAATCAGACTTCTTCAACGTCTAAATTGAAAGAGGAAATTCCATCTATTTATGTAAAATTTCAATCTCATTCAAACGTTGTTCGGTAAATAATAGAGAGAGAGAGGAAGTAATATTTTCTTACTCAACCTTCCAAATTAAAAAAAAAATCTTTGACATTTTCTGTCGAAAACAACGCGCAACACATTAAGTTATCATTTGTTTAAAAGCCAAAGCCATGCTATGGCAGTAATAAGAGTTATCTCTCTTATCAGTGGATCAATGACCCTTGAGCGTCAATATATAATATTTCTGTTTGTAGTACGAAACCCATGCTGTCCCCCAAGTAGAAAACACCAAAACCACACACATTTAAAGCACGTACCAAACTATCGGACGTTTTGGCCTCAGCGAACTGATTATCTTATCCCAACGGACGACATACAAATGGTAACAGTTCGACTTTATGCTGAAGAACGAAGACTTGATCAAATAAATGGTGGAAATGGTACTTTAGCGAAAGCCCTGTCCAAAGAATTATATGGGGATGAAAATCAATATTTTTCAAGGTTTGTAGTGATGATCTAAACTATGATGAATGCATGAACCACTAATATTTCAGCGATGAAATAAAAGAAATAAAGTTTTTTTAAAAAAATACTAGTAAAAGGCGCCTTTTTAGCATGCTTTATTGAGTAGAATTTAAGTAGAGGCTACAATTCACTTTCAATACAGCGGTCTTCAGGATGCCTTAGGGAACGAGACACTGGATTTCGATGAAAAGATGCGAAGAATTTCTGATTGGTTGACAGTCCCTATATACATCTACCGTTCAGACCTAACACAATTAAACTGCTCTCAAGGGTTCTTCTGGACAAAATTCGAACCCACTCGTTCAAGGCCAGACCAACTTGATGGAAAGAAAGAATGCAGGTTTTATATCACTCTATTCTACAATGGCCTAAATGATTCCTATGATCGGATAACACCCCTCAGAGGTTGTAACTGTGAAATTCCGCCACCTCTTTCCTTACTTCGAAACCAACAGAGTAAGTTCAAAATTTGAATTGAAGAAAGAAATTTATTTGATCGTTGCTTTATCATTCTTTGGATTTTGTTAAATCATCATCGCATGAATAACGTATAAATATTGAATTTTTGAGAACTTGTATGCGGATTTCATGTTATTATAACAGTACATTGAAAAACAAGCTATGTTTGTGAAACACTGATGCCCCTCCATATGGCAGGTTATGGCAAAGGTTAAAGTTTCTCAAATGGAAGTCAAACACCAAGATCAAGGTCAAGAGGTAAAAAATATTGGTACCCAAAGGAAGGACGTGTCAATGGATAAACCTGGTATATATGAAAGCCCAAGCACCAACCAGTTATGGTCAAAGTTAATATTTCCTAAAAGTGGGTCGAACTCCAAGGTCAAGGTCAAAAGGTAAAATAAATGGTATGCAGGGGAAGACCTTGTCATAAAAACACACATACAAAATATAAAAGCCCTAGCACCAACTGTTTAAAAATTATGGACAAGGTTAAAGTTTTTCAAAAGTGGGTCAAACTCAAAGGTCAAGGTCAAAAGGTAAAAATTAGTGGTATCCAAAGGAAGGTTCTATCACAAAGAGTATACATGTGAAATTTGTAAGCCCTTTTACTAACTGCTCAAAAGTTATGACCAGGTTGAAAGTTTTTGTACATGTAAAGTGGGTGAAACTCTAAGGTCAATGTCAAGTGGTCAAAATTGTTGGTTCCTAGAGAAGTTCTTATCACAATAAATACACATATCAAACGTGAAAGACCTAGTACCAACCGTTCAAAAGTTATGGCCAAGGTTAAAGTTTTTGTAAAGTGGGTTAAACTCCAAGGTCGTATGACCAAAATTATTTGTATCCAAGGAAAGGCTATCACAAGAAAAGCACATGTAAAGAATGAAAGCCCTAGCACCAACCATTCAAAAGTTTTTCTTTTTTTTCAATTTTTTACAAGTTCTGCAGGCTGCAAACACACCATATATAAGTTTGCTTTTTGTAACTAAAGAAATATTTATGTTTTTTAAAGAAAAAAAATACAATAATGAATACATAGTTAATCTGATTTTACACGTATACTGACTCAAACTTATGCCAATGGTATTTTTTCAAAATCGTATGTACATATTCAGTTTGTTTTTTTCAGAGACAGAGTCTCAACTTCTATTTTGCGTGGATCCAAAGCAACGTCACCATCCTCTAACCACTTTCCTTTCAAAGGATCCTGACGAGGAAATGTTCATGACAGAAATAAGAGATTTTCCAGTGTGCACGCCATACTCTTCACTGCGCATAGCTATGCAAAGAAATGACATGGAAGGACGAACGTTTGACTCCATTCAGTTTTTCCAACACTCTCTTCTCCGTTGCTTAAGCAAAGAAATATTTGGAACTGAACAACATGTAGATCTATTACTGAAAGAACTATGCGAAGAATTATTGCCAAACATTCTCTTTTACGAACCGGTCATTGGAGATGAAACTAAACATGCTTTTGAAGCTACATTTGGAAAGTTACCACAGGGTGTAAAAGACCATGAAAAACTTGCGAAATTCGTGATTGGAAGAATTGAAGATGATCTTCCTACCGATGAGCTATTGTTATGGCTTGCTTGTACATTTTTCCAGACTGATATTTACGTTCTTCGGGTCAAGGACACAAAAACCTCAACAGAGAGCTCCTGGACTGAGTTCTCAAAGCTGAGAACCCGGAAGAGGAATCCCAAGAAAACCACACGTTTTACAAGTAGATGTCCAAGGAATAAAACGCCCTATATTTCTCTTATTCAGACGGAAAGCAAACAATTTCACAGAATTGTTCCAAAAATGGCTTGTTGTAATTGCGTTGTAGATATTCCCGATAAATCCTCGAATGAAGCTGACTCAACGCCATATCCTACACAACAAGGTAAATTTTATCAACAGCTGGAATGATTTTTTTAAAGCATTTACCATTTTTTAAAATTATATACCGGGGGTATTAAAAATGCATTCACTTTATTCCTTTTGCAGATTGCAAGTTGATGCGAAGGATAAGGATAGTCGACACTCTTCTGGAAACAGCTTGTGTAAATGTGGAGCAGTGGCTTTTATGCAATCAAATTCTGCAGAGAAGATGTGATTTGGTGATATGTGAAATCGAGGGTCGTCGTAAAAATGTAAATATCGCCACAATATCTGGTTCTGGGGCTGGCATTGTCGGTGCAGTGCTGACAGGTGTTGGAATAGCGCTGGCACCGGTAACCGGAGGTATTTCCACCCTGCTGGCAGTAGGGGGAGGGGTTCTGGCAGTTTCCGGGGGCACAGTGGCTGCAGGAGCAAAGATTACTGAAACCTACTTGAACAGTGGTACAATAGACACATTAAAGCGATATCAAAACTGTTACCAGGAGAGATTTGAGCGCGTACAGAACGTAATGGAACAATTGAAAAAGGAAGTAAATAAACTGGCAGAGGTGTCGACTGAAATCAGAACCAATCAGAATATTGAGGCATCCGACTTTGCGGGGGTCCAGAGCTTACCAGGTATTCTAAGAACCGTGAAAGGTCTAGCAATGATCCCCATAAGCCTACTAAAGGTGTCAGCCAGAGGGATAATAATTCTTGGCGCAGTCATCGGGCCGCTGACGGCGTTGTTTGATGCAGGCCTATTGGCATTCTCGGCATATAATATGGCGAAAGGAAACCGAACTGATTTGACAGAAAACCTTCGTCGAATATCAGCATCACTACATGGAGCAAGAAGGCAGATGCATAACTGGGCTTACGGAAATGTTAGACCTTTCTACTATGACTAAAAGATCTACGGAGTATGAAGTCAATCTCGATGTAAAAATCTTTCATATTTTGATGAGTCTCGTTAGTTAAAATTAAAATCTTGCTAAAGTGAAAGATAAATGATTTAAGATTATCAAGTGTAAGTAAATGAAATAAATACTTCATGCTTGTCGGAACATTACCATCCTGTATTTTATAAAACTTTACTCTTGATTTAATATTTGGGCGCTCTAGTTTACGTGTTTAACTTTTATCTTTCTTCGGAACGATGTCCATAAATGGTCAAATGGAGAATAAGTTTTTAACAGTAATTTGATGAAGATGTTAGTAAATTGATAGACTTCTCCTAGATTCATGAAATCCTAAAAAATTATTTCACTTAAATATTTGCTGTCATTCCGATTGTTTAATAATCTGAGTGCAGGATATTCTATGATTTAAAGATACGGGTAGGGAAGACGTTCCCTCCCTTTTTTTCACGAGTTCAAACTCCGAACAAGTAGAAGACTTTTATTTAACCTTGTGATTTAATTTATTTTTATTAACATAGGAGAGGAGATTCAGTATTGATAGAAATCGAGGTGGTTTTGTTGTTTTTCACATTGTGAGAAATACTTTAATTTTCACATTTAATCACTTGTTAAAGAATCTATGAAGCTATTGCAGAAAAAATATATAACCCGCTTACGCAAGTATGCATTTTTTCTGCAACAGCTGCAACATTAATTCCCTTACTAACAACCAAAGAAAGCATTTTATTGTTTAAGTTTATTAAATATATCAGATCATGGTTAGCATCCGAAGATTCTGCAATACAATATAAATCATAGTAAACAAATGGGATATTACACATATGGCAGCAGAATCTGTAACCGTCATCAAACATTAAAGTCAGAAGACATTGAATATTGACAACGCTCAGTATTCACTTATGATAGGTATTATATGAACAAACTCAATCACCAACACAAGAAATCTCTTCGTTGCATTTTTAAAAGACACACCTAGTGCAATGTAAAGTTATATTTCAAAAGTTGGAAAATAAAATATATGTTTTTAAAAATGTTTTTTAAATTATATATCGTGGTAGAATTGGTGTCATTTTAGGCAGAGAAAAAAAGAAAGGATTTCAGTTTAAAATGCATTAAAATGCACCATTTTGCATTATTCTTTCAAAAAATTTTCTGTGGGAGGCCCCCAGGACCCCCAAAATGGGAGGGTATAGCCTCTACCATAACCCCTTTGGCCCTTCGGGCATAACCCCCCCCCCCTACACACACACTGGTTCTGCCACTGCCATTTAATTTAAAAAATCATGATGTTTTGTATGAAGTTTTCAAAATGCACTGTAATGAAATATTTCCATTCTCTATCCAGAGTTGTCTTCCGCTACGCTCCATACATGTGTTATGTGGGACCCGGCGCCTAGCAAGAACGTCAACTCTGGATAGAGAATGGAAATATTTCGATACCCCCCCCCCCCAAAAAAAAAGGACGGAAAAATGTATTACTTATCATGCTTATACGTTGTATAGATATTGATTGCGACTACCGGTTGACAAATGGCGGGGTTAGTGGTGTTTTTGAGCTCCTGGTGGCACATCAAAACTGTATTTAAAGAATTGGCGACCGATAGCTCTTCTTAATATGTGGATTATAAGTTAACTTCTGCGTGCATTGCAAATAGGGTTAAAAAACATTTTAATACTTGTAAGTCAAACACAGGCGAGTTTCATTTAAAAAAGGTTTATTGGAGAATGCACTCGTCTTATATATGATATGATTCAAAAAACAGAAGAAGAAAATATTCCTGGTATACTTTTATTGTTATATTTCGAAAAAGCTTTTGAAACCGTCGATTGGAACTTTATTTTTAAATCTTTAGAATTTTTCAACTTTGGGAGATCAACAATAAAATGGTTCAAATTACTGTATCACGATATATCTTGCTGTGTGCTTAACAATGGCCATTTTTCGTCTTTCTTTACAACAGGAAGAGGTGCAAGACGGGGGGACTCTCTTTCTCCTTGTTTATTTATTCTTATGGTAGAGCTCCTCAGCGCCTACATAAAAACATTAATCCGGATATTAAGGGAATTAATATCAATGATTCAGAATATCTAGTCAGCCAATATGCAAATGATACTTCTTTAGCGCTCGCAGACGATGAAAAATCCTTAATTTAGCATTAAAATGTATAAACTCCTTTGCCGCCTGCTCTGGACTAAAACCTAATTTTGAAAAAAAAAAAAACCACAAGCTTTATGTGGAACCATGATGGTAAATTTAAACTCTTAGGCATAACTTTTAAACTAAACAAACCTGATATTACTTATAATAATTACGAGGAAAAGCTACAAGCTGTCAAAAAGCTTATTCATGATTGATCTTTTAGAAACCTCACACTTATTGGAAAAGTCACAGTGCTCAAAACATTGGTTTTACCAATTCTTGTTCAAATTTTTACAATTCTTCCGGACCCACCTCCGGATTTTTTGAAGAAACTTCAAAATATGTTTTTTGAATTCATATGGGGAGGCAAACCAGACAAGATCAAACGTACAGTTATATATAGTTCAACAGAAAACGGAGGGCTCAAGGTTCCTCATCTAGCATCCTTCAACTCAAAACAAAAATTCGCAAATGAAAAAAAATGTGGTATTACAGATACAAAGGTTTAGAAACCATTTCAAACAAAGTTAATCCATTCTGGAAAAGTGTATTAATATCTTGGGGAAAGGTTGATCAAAACTCTACCACAGGTCCTGAAATTTTAAGTCAACCACTATGGCTTAATAATGATATAAAAGTAGGGAAAAAATACGTATTTAAACGAAAATGCATAGCCAGTGGTATTTTTTCATTAATGACTTAATCATGGAAAATGGGAATTTCATCCTATTTAAAAATGCATACAATTTAAACACAAATTTCGGACTATTATCAGCAATCCCTAAACATTGGAAACAAACGATTAAACATCACCAAAAGTTGAATGAAATTAAAAGTGAAAATATTTTGACAATTCAAAAAAATATGAAAGTTACAAAACACTTTTATAAAAAAGTTTGCTGAAAAGATAGCAGAGTCCCCTTCAATGGCTTTAAGAAAATGGGAGGAAAAACTTTCAATACATATTTAAATGGATTTAAACGGAAAGACTCTGTACCCTATTTAATAACAGAGGACACAAAGCTTCCATGCTTGCAGTTTAAGCTTTTACATCAAATATTTTTTACAAATAGCAAACTTACGGAATGCAATTTAGCTGAAGTAAAACTTCTTTTTGCCATGAAACTAGAGATAAACTTCGAAATACATATGGTTTAATAATTAAATTTACTGCTGAAGAATTCATATTTAGATATAACAGTTCAAGTGAAAGTTCTTTCAGAACTTTGGACATAATTATTCTGGTTGCAATATATAATGAATTGTAAATGGAAAAATATAAAACTGTCTTTTTATGTTTACTTGGAAGTACTTAGATATTATAGAACTATAGAGCCCTTTTCCTCCTTTTCTCTCTCTCACAAGAAAGCAGACATGATAGAGCGAAGTTGGGATTTTTTGAAAACTTTTCTCAGTCATTGAAGGTAATGTTACAGAAAAAAATATGCTATTTTTCGAAATTGTTCAAATGGATTTTTTTGTCTATTATGTAAAATATTTGTATTTATGCCATGTTATTGTAGTTTTTGTAATGTTTGTTTAAAAATACATGTTACGACAGAAATAAAAATATGAGTGACAAAAAAAAAATTATAAATGGCTGCCAATGTCTAAGAGAAACATACATCCATCTTTGCTTCCATCACTTGTCAAAACATTTATATATGCCCATGTGCTATAGAATATAGTAATTATTGGAGATTTCGCATGTTTTCTAGTCAAGGGAACTTCTTAAAGTTCCGGTTATCCTAATTTACATCTGCAACGCAGAATCCTAAATTAAGTGAATTGTTTATTGATGTGAAGAAGAAAATTAAATAAATGTCATTGCAATAAGAACTCTTAGCCGTGCTTATTTTTGCAAACTACACAGCACACAGAAAGAAATGTTCAAACACTTCTGTGTTTTTTTCTTTACTTGCATTTATGCTACTTTATAAATATTGAATCAGATGAGATAGCGATCAAGGAGAATCTAGGAGACGCTAACTATGTACAGATGAACAGTGTAGCACTTGCCGAGAATGGCATGTCTTATATACCGAAAATCCGAGCAAATCAGAGAATTGTACCATTAATATCGAAATAATAAGTAATAATTATATTTTTACATTATTCAAACGTGGTTAATTCTATTCGTGTATTAGTGTATCTTGATGAGTTACAGATCAAGTTTGCATTTCGTTCCGCTTCAATGATTTTTGACGGAATTACGGCCCTTTTAATTTTTAAGGGCTTTCCGCGTTTTTTTTCTAAACGCTTGTAGATATTGAGCTGATTTTTGGTATGTGACTTTACCTTGATAAGTTATAGATGGCTTCTGCATTTCGTTCCGGGTTATTGATTTTTGACGGAATTATGGTATTTTCCATTTTTAATGGGAACAAGATTAAACTTGCCGGTAGGGGACTAGTATTGCTTATGCAATACTCTCAGAATGCTCGTTATTTGGATGCATTTCAACCTGTATTTGCTTTTATTTTTGACTTTATGGCCTTATAAAAGTGAACGAACAAAATTGTTACTTTTGAAGACTTTGTTTCCATAGTTTGTTTTGTTTGTTTGTTTAACGTATCTTTCGAGATTTTTTTTACTCATATTGAGACGCCACCAGTTGCCAGTGGAGGACTGCAAAGATGATATATTAGTTTTTTGTTTTAAGCATATTAATTTTTATTAAATGAATCAAAAGGACTGGAAACAACTTCTGACAATTGACTTGTTCCTTTCCTTGAATATAACAATATGTCATGCAAAATAGAATACATAAATGAGAATTTTACAAGAAATACAAGTGAAATTCCATTAAATAATACCGATTTAAAATCTACAGGTTTCATTTATAAATTTGTGAACAGCAAAAAATAGTTATTGATCTGTAAAGGCAAATTTGCATCTCCCCATAATAACAGATTTATGTCAATTGTGACCAAGTCATCAAGAATAGACAGGCGGTTAAAAAGTTTATTTCTAGCATTAGGATAATTTCTACAATCAAAAAGAAATTATATATATCTTCAAATTTGCCACACGAACATAAAGAACTGTTGATAATATAGCAATTGTATAGATCATAGTTAAATATATAAAGTTGTGCCTTATTTTAGTATTGATTATGTTTGTATAAAGTTTTCAAATTGAAAACATCTGACTTCTGTAATCAAAA